TTGTATAATTAGCCATTTCGGTTACTAATTGAGTTAGATTGCGTTTTTCAATTAAAAATGTATTTAATGATTGTGAATATTCATCGTATTTGATAGTACAACTGTTACCTTTGTAACAAAAAAATTTTGACATATTGAATTTTTTTTAGTAAAAACGTGATTTCTAAATCTTAGTAAAAAAAAAGATAGCCAAAAAATTCAAGAAATTTCTAGAAATCAAGATCTTGATAATATTTTGGAATCATCGTTTTGTTTTATTCTCAAGTATTGCCGTAATTAGTCTGTCATTTTTTGTTTACAAAATATAAAAGTAATTTAAAGAAATATCTATTTATCTAATTTTTAATTCTTTATTTAGTTCGATAAGATTATCTTCTAAAACGCATCAATATCTTCATGATCAATTGAAAAAGGTCACTCATACATTACAATCCTTAACATTAAATAGTACATCAAAAGTTATAAGACACATTTATTCACAATCATTAAATACATTTTTAATTGAAAAACGCAATCTAACTCAATTAGTAACCGAAATGGCTAATTATACAAATTTAGCTATTATGAAAAAATTGACAGCAATTCGAAATTTAGTAAATGTATCTGAACAAACGTATAGACAATTTGCAAAAACTACCGATGAGGAAAAAGAAGAAATTTATAAATATATGGATGTAAGTGAAATTTATACATATTGTTCGATTATTTATTTAAATTAATTAATCGAATATTCTCATATTTTGTTGCTTAGAATCATGGTTATTTGAGCACAAAATTTGTTGAAAATAAAACACTCGAAAGTATAGCGGCTGAAGCAAATTTGACAATGTCTAATTCTATAATTTCTACATCAACATCATCGTCGATCACACAATTAGATAGTGGAGTTGGAGGAGGAACAGCAACAACTGGAAGTACCTCTACATCTACACAAGAATCAGGTACAACTGGTACAGCAAATGAACCACAAGAACCCGGTGAATACGGGTAAGTAAAGAATAAAGAAATATTTTTTCATAATTAGAAAGATAATTTATCTTAATATTTAGAGTATTAAAAAAGCCATTAATTTTACAATTAAAAAAACATTTTGCCAATCAAATGGTCAATGTTACTCATAGTACAGTTCATATACCAACAATTATTTATGCAAAAAGTATGATTAATATTAATTAATTTCATTTATAAATAGTTAAATATTTTTATAGATAAAGAAATTTTACTGAATGCGAATTGGTCATATAATTTAAATCAAGCATTTATTGATAATTATAATCAAGATCCAGAATTAACGTGGCAATATTTTTGTTCTCAAACTGGTCTTTATCGAGTGTGGCCCGGTTAGATTGTAAAATGTATTCTTTTTATCTTGTTATTGATTTTTTTTTCATAATTTTTACTATAGGTCATAAATGGGATTATCCTGAAGGTGATACTGAGATGCTTGATCTATTTGATTGTCGTGTACAAAACTGGTATATTCGAGCTACTTCATCACCGAGAGATGTTGTAATATTGATTGATGCAAGTGGTTCTATGTCAGTTATTTCTAATATCATCATTATTTAATATATTTAAAAATATTTTGTTTTTTTTTCAGGACTGGACTAAAAAAATCAATCGCAATACAAACCGTTGAAACTATATTGGTAAAAATAATTCATTTTTTAATGTTTTTATAAATTTATTTTATCTTGAACTTTAGGATACACTATCCGATGATGATTTTGTTCAAATATTAAAGGTATATCTATGTCATGTTATATAAATATGATATACTCTTTTGTTTCTAGTTTCAAGAGGGTGTCTATTTTATTGATAATTGTTTTCAAAGTGGCCTTGTACAAGCAACATTTGAAAATCGTGCAGTATGTGGGCTTCATAAATATATTATTCTCGTCAAATATTTTTATTTTTATTTTTTAGAAATTTCATGAATCACTGAATAGTAACGATATGGATACAAAAGGTGTTGCTAATTTTTCAAAAGCACTAGAAAAAGCATTCGACATATTAGATGAAGTATTTAATGATATGAAATTTTAAAATTATGATTTTCTATATTAATAGTATTTATTTTAGGCACGAACAAATATTTCAAGAACAGAAAACGTTCGTTTACTTTGTCAATGTCATTATTTAACAACCGATAATTATACGGGAGATGATCGAACTGAATTTTGTCCATCTGATCAAAATGGTTTGTGATAAGAAAAGTTTTATAAACAAATTATTTATATTATTCTGTTATTTCAGCAACATCATATTCAGCTGATGAAAAACCATTTTTGGATAGTACCGGTTGCAACAAAATGATAATGATCGTTACTGATGGTGCAACAGAAAAAGCAATGCATGTTTTTCAAAACCGAAATTGGATACCTAATCAAGTTTCAACATGTCATCCAACAGAAGTATAATTTAAGATAAACGATTAATAGTATCTAACGTTGTTTTGTATATTTTTAGACAAGAGTATTTACGTATATGATCGGTCGTGAACTTGGTGATCCGAAACATATTCGTTGGATGTCTTGCGCAAATAAAGGTATAAATAAAGTCTAGAATAAATCTAGAATAACCATACTGTAGTATTGCACGCATGACAAAATTTTTATTACTTTATCTATATCCGCATGCGAAATATTTTCACATTTATGATCAGAATGTAGGTTTTACCCGTGTAAGAGTTTTTATATTCAGATTGATAATTGAAAGCTCCAATTAATTCTTTTTCTTCTCTGCAATAAACACATAAAACTAGAGTTGAACGAGCCTAATTTTTGGTTTTTTTTGCTTTGTTGGCAGTCATTGTAAGCTAGAAATCGGAAAGATTTCTAGTATAAGGATTCAGAGATTCTTGTTTCGATAAGAAACAGACGAATAGTTTAAAAATTAGACGCTAACAACTTCTAGTGGTAGATGTTATCTAGAAATCAAAACTTTTTTTTGTATTATTATCGAGAATTCTTGTAGATGATAAAGGCTCCAGCAAAATATTGTTTTATAAAGGAACTTTCTGAACTTAACTTTCTCAAGTGATTAGTTTGAAATGTTATGAATAAGTTTCTACATCACAAATCTAATGTCCGTTTGTGTCCGAAGTTTTTATAACTATCGAACAAGTTTTAATTTCAAGTAAACAGTATTTTTCTAAAAACTTCTCCTCATAGAAACTGCAATGAGCTCAAGGGGAAAACAGCTGATTTTTGAGCTTAAAAAGTGGGTTTAAATCGAAAATCGCCAAGAATCGCTAAAATTTCCAAAAAACGGTTAAAATCGGTAAAGATCGAAAAAATTACTGACAAGTGGTGTTATTTATTAACTGAAGAGAATTCAACGTTGTCTGCTGGTCGTTTATCATAGCATAATGTAAATGAACAAAAAATAACATTAACATTTCGTTCATCTTTGTTTTTCTTTACTTTCACTATGTCTGATTCCTAAAAATCGATGAAAATCAGTGAAAATCGACGAAAATTGACAAATCCAAAAACTAGCTGTTTTCCCCTTGAATGAGCTCCACAGGCTAGTCGGATCAAAATGCCTTCGTTCCCTGATTCATGGATAAATCACGGAACTTCGAATTCAAACACTCAATAAAAATACTAACTGATAACTGATTCACGATCAGCAACAAGAACTATCGTAGAAAAACTAGTTTTAATTAGGTTATCTGGAAAAGTTCACTTGTTAGGATAAACATGATGTGCGTGTATGATGCAGATTTTGGATCTTCTAATAAAAATCTTATACTTTTTTTTCAAGCATCACACTATCTCTTGTTGAAATTCGATTTTTGAAAAATCCTTGAGACTGACTTTCACTCCCACAAAAAACGAATGCGAAAAATATGTTCATCTCGTTTTTGAAGACCAAAATAGTAAAAATTAAAATTCTTTAAGAGCAGTCGTCATGTTGGGTAGTAGGTCAGCAATCGGAGCGAGCACAGTGGACATTCAAATGAACATTTAGCCAGAAAGCTGGTTTGGACTTTTTTCAGTATTAATTGACAGATCATTTAGTTGGATAGCTCGGCTATCCGGGTGATAGTAAAACATGAAGACACCCACAGACACTTACAGACACCCACAGACAGCACACAGACAGCTGCACAGACATCCAAACACAGACATCCGTGGATGTCTGTGTGTTGTCCGTGGCTGTTAGTGGATGTCCGTGTGCTGTCTGTGGGTGTCTTCATGTTTTACTATTACCCTCGGCTATCCTTTCCTAAAATAACAATATTTTTATCTTCAGAGGAACAATGGGAAAACTCATGCTAAAACATTCGCCGTAAAATCGATATCAAGTGAAAGTTTATTTTTCATAAATTTTAATTAAACATATACATTTAAAACCGTCTCAATAATAAATCACAACTATTTTTTCGGCGGTCTACATACACCGTCGAAATTGAAACTGAATTCGAAAAGAAAAATTAGTTTTCTACGTTTCGGTGTAATGAGTTTTCCCTGTTTCCCTTTCATTTGATTGTGCTCAAACTTTCCACAAATATTCTTCTATCTATACTGCTTCTATGGTAGAATCTTAGTACCAAATAGCTTTGTCCTTCCTGTCTCTCGTTATAGTTTTTCCAGCACCTCGTGGTCTTCTGAGCAAAATCTATTTTTCCCAGTTCAGATACACCTTTAAAAAAAGACAAGATTATGTTCGGAATTAGTGCAAGATTAATCGTTTTTGGAAAAATTATTTTTTCTAAAAACATTTATTTTTTTTGAACAGCATCAGAAATGATAATTATTTAAGAAAGAAACGTATTTCGAGCAAAAAATTCGAATGTCCACGTGCTTTTAGAAAAATAGCGATCATGGGAAGATGAATATGCTTGAACGGTTAAATAGACTTTGTCAAACTATACCTGAGGTGACATTTGTTTAGGTTATTTTGCTCATGTTTCAACATTAGAAAATATTCAAGAAAATGTTGAAGATTATATACCAGTGACAGCACGACCGATTGCTATGTACAATGATCATGTTACTGTATGGAGTAGTGTATTTCTCGATGTTGAGGTTAGTTTTGAATGTTAATTATCTTGAATTAATGTGTAATCAGTTTCATATTTATTTTTATTCTTTAGCGTAATGAACCACTAAAAAGTTACAAATGGTTTCCCTTTAAATTTCCAAATTTTTCATTATCAATGGAAGAATTCAAAAATAGAACAAAAGTTGGTCAACTTATTTTAATCTCTTTTAGTTTCTAAAACCAAATTGTTGTTTCTATTGTAGCCTGTAAACTTGATGATTTCAGTTGCTCAGCCTCTGTTAAATTATCCAAAACATGCAAGTTAAAAAACTCGATAATGAATAAAATTACTGATTTTATTCATCTTTTTAGGCAGCAGACGATGTCATTTTATTGGGTGCTGTTGGAGCAGATATTCCAATTAAATTACTACAAGAATTTTCTCCAAAATACAGAGTATATTATCATAATCAAAACATTAAATAGCTGAATTAGTCAATTTTATATTTTGATTTTTAGCTAGGTGTTCATGCATATTCATTTATGATTAATCACAATGGTTATCTTATGTTTCATCCTGATTTACGACCAGTGGTAAGTTTTTGCTATTTATTATATTTAATTTTGTCTGAATGATGTTTTTGTTTTTGGTAGCTTGGCACATATCGAAAGCGTAGTTATCATTCAATCGATTTAGATATGGTAGAAATACCACACAATCTAACTAATTTTGTACATGTATGTATACAGTGATTAACGTGATAAATTGTATTCAAAAATAGTTTACATATTATTTTTCATTTTTTAGCCATTACCACCAAGTAGCATTCAAAAAGTAGATTATTATTATTATTTTGTTATATTAAAAAATTGAAATATGACAACTTTTTCTTTTTTATAGATTCGTAAAGATATGATACAATCAATTGAAAATAACTTTGTAGCAGAAATAAAAAGACATTTTGATGATATGGTATGATTATTTCTTAGCAAATGTAAAATATTAGTACAGCTGTCGTTTATCTTTCCTATTAGCGTCGAGTAGAAGAAACAAATCAAAGTTACTATTATTCAACATTAGGTGATAAAGAGTCAAATCCATTCAGGTATATAAATATTATTAATAATTTTAAGAAAAATATTTTAAAATCAAATATCTTTTTATTCTAGTTTGGGTATTGCTATTCGATTACCGTACGGTGAATATGATATTAAAATAAAAGATCCTGATACAGAAAAAACTCAAATAGGTTTTTATATTGTAATTATTAGTTAAATATTGTGTGTATACATTGTCTTTTTTTCTAGCTCGTCGATTTATTTTTCAACGAAATGTTCGTATTGCTGATTGGATTTATTGTAATTCAACAGCTGAAGATGATGTTGGTGATACAGAAGAATCATTTCGAAATTATTTACAAGAAAAAATTGAAACAAAAAAACTTCTCTCATGTAAATAATGAAATATACAATATTATTATATAAAATAATAAAATTTTATTTTATTTTTAAGGTCCATATAATTCTAGTAGAAGATTGATTAATATGATGATTGAAGAATTGTATATTATGAGTAAATTTGAAAATTGGACAACAACTGGTGCATTTAATTCAGATAAAAGTACTATTAAACCAAATATATACGCTGCCTATGAAGAATTTGAACAATATAAACATGAAAATCATTTACATTGGCTATTTCTTGGTACACGTTCAGGTATAACTGCATATTGGAAAATGTATCATTTGGCTAACGAAGATCATATAAGGTACGTTTAACAAATAACAAATTTATTTTAGTTTATTTTATTTTATTTTATTTTATTTTATAGACAATTTGGAGATGCGAATCCAAATTCAATTGAATCAACTTATTATGAACGAACAATTGATGCTACGTATAAATATGATGCTGGTCATATAAAAGGAAATCATCATATTTATTCACTATTTCATGGCGTTAATCATGTTCCATCAACAAATACGCGTATGTTCAAACTTTATTTTTTATTAATTAAATATTTTAAAAGAGAGAGACAGTATTATTCATTCAAAATAAGATTCTAATTCGTTAAATAGACAGTATTATGTATTAATTTTAGAAAATGAATCGAATTCTTCAGGTAAATTTGTTGTATAGATGTAAAAGTTATTATATAGTCTCCTGTTTTGCAGACACATACACATTCAAAAATATAAGTTTAATTTTGTTAATCCTTTTGTATTCAACTTAAAGAAAAATTACATGTGTAGACGTTTGTTAGTTGAAATTTGCTTTTTTTTTATATGTTTACTTTTATTAGTCAATTGCTGCTTATAATAACATGTAGTATAGTTCTTTTGATCTAATCGCGTATTTCACTTTTACTCGATTTAATTTAACAAATTAATATTAAAGTTCTAATGTTTTTCTCTAATAGAGAGTAAAACGTAAAGACAAATTATCAATATTTTTTAAATTTTTTATCAAAATTTATTCTATTCTATAATAAATAAAATATTTTTAATTATAGAGACTTCTCCAACATCACAAATGTATTTAGTAATAACAAGTGCAATATGGATGAATAAAACAAGTAAAACTAGTCCATCAGCAAATGTACCATTTGGTGTATTTGGTATTATGCTACCCTATACTACTGTTCGTTCAACACATTTTTCTGATCTTTGCGTAAGTGGAATAGTTTAAATTCTTAGTACTCATAGTAATACTTGCAAAAAATTATTTTATAGGCTAAACTAGACTCTGGTATATGTTATATAATTGATGAACACGGTTACATTATGTTTATTAGTCAACCAGGAGTTATTGATCGAATTGTGCGTATGATATTAGAGTCTAAAAATTATTATTATTACTTTTATAATTGATTTTTATCTTAGAATGATATTGGCAAATTCTTTGGTGAATTTGAAGGAGCATTACTAAAAGAATTTGAAAACAAAGGAATATTTAAAAGGTAAGAATTTTAAACTTTTAAAAATTGATATTTAGAAGTTGATCATTATAATTTTGTTCTTTTGAAGTAAATTAATGGTGGATTTTCAGGGTGTATGCCTAAAACGTCGTAAATCGAGTGGAAAAAGTTCAGCTGGACTATTTCGTGGAGTATGTGAAATTAGAATTAATAAAAATTTATTCATTATTTACATTTTATCTCTTGTAGATCTTACGAACATTTATTGTAGTTTTGTCTAATATCATCAATCATATTGCTTTGTAAGTAAAGTCTTCTTCTCGAATACATGCCTTAGTGAAAACGTCCTGTATCGCAAGAATCTTTCACTCAAGATTTTGAATGAAAAATTCTTCACATTTTATTATCTTTATGACAGTCATAACTAGCAGATATACATTGTACAATAAAAAAAACAGTGTGTCAGTTGCATATCATTTTGGATAAATTTGTGCATTCAGCAATTTGCACACTTTCTGACACGGTTCTTTTTTAAGTATATGTCCAAATAAAATCATAGACTCTTCCTTGAACAACTATGTTGATACAAGAAGTCAAGAAATTTCAAGACATTCAAAATCTTGAGTTCTCGATATTTTTTTACCTTTTTGCATTTTCATGCAAAAATCGTGTGTCAAGAAGTTTCATTAGGTATCACCACTATAACTTTATTCATGTTGATCTAACCAGAACAATTATTTTTTATTACAGATTTTTGGCTCATTGGCCAAATTATTCACTAGGAGCCGAATCGGAGATTCAGAATGTGAATTCGACAAATACGGAAAATCAGCCGACAGAACCATCTTATGTGAGAGGTATGTATATATATATTTAACCAATTCTATCTTCTAAGGGATAAATTTTTATATTTTATTGTTTTCAGAAAGTTTACATAACATTCTTCTTGATCATATTGACTTTCGTCGACCAATTGTTGATTATAAAAAATTAAACTATTCAAAAGATGATGATACGGTTGAGAAAATACCTGAATCATGTATTGAAAAGTTTAGATTGTGGATATCTACATGGAAAGGATGGCAAGGTGAATTGCCATCGAAAGATAATGGTATTACATGGGAAGAAGTTGATAGAGTTAACACAAAAAGCGGTTGGGTAAAATGTACAGAAGTACCACAGGAACCAATATTTACGCCAATTATTATCGAAAACGCATCCAATAGTACCACAAATGAGACTTCAACTCGATCAGCAATACCAACAGTATCATCGGATTTTAGTAGTACATATGCAACATCGTCTGATGAATTATTTCCGTATGTATTTTGTTTGTTTTATCTCTAAATAAAACACATACATCATCTTTTTCTCATTTATTTTTCAGCTATTTAGTTTCAAAAATTCCTAATACAAATTTATTAATGGTTTACGTCAACCATTCAAAATCATATTGTGAAAAATTAATAATTAGACGAGAACCAGTTGAATTTAAACATCATGAACGATGTACTCGATTGAAAACGACACCGTATCGTGAACGACCGCACAAGTGTTTCTTTGTCCATGATGATGAGGATACGACAACATGTTTTCAACATGCTTCAACACAATTTGCTACTATTCAAATTATAGCATTTTCAATAATAACTCATTTCATATTCAAACATAGCATAAATGGGACGTGAAACTAAAATACAAAAAATTAGAAAAATTTCTCCTTTTCAATGCAATTTGTTTGTTTTTTTGTCTGATTTTCTCAAAAATATTTTGCTGATAACCCCGGTTCATGTGATTTGAAAATCTCTCTTCTATTTACATTTTTTATTTGTACATTAGTAAAATGTTTATGGCTAGTTTTTCTTATAAAATTTCTACGTGCTTTGTTGAATCTGAATAATTACCAATAAAAACAGATAGATCAACATGGTCTTGTTAATGACCATACGAACGACAATCATATATCAGTTCTATATAATAACGTGGTCGCATGATGAAATGACTAATTTAATCTATATCTATCAGTTAGACTCATGCAGAATATCATTTTGAACGTATACGTCGAACTTGAGATTGAATCTAGGCCTAAGTGAGATTAGAATTATAAACCGAACTGGGTAAGATCAAAGGTGACAATAAGGTTTTGACCCACCAACGGGATATATGTAGGTTTGTAGAGAAAGACTTCTTCTATCTAATGGTGCATATATTATCAAATTCTGTTGCGTACCGTGAGAGAAAATTAAAGGTAATCCCTCTTTTTTTCGACTTGTTTAGAAATATTTTTGAGTTAGATATTATGCATTCTAGAGTAAAGTGTCCTCTACAAAATAAGATCGCTCCCAGCTCTCCAAGGCCTTCCGTTGAAGAGATACGAATTTTTTTAAAGTTTCTTACTTTACTCTGAAAAATGAGATGTATGCCAGCTCTTCAAGTACTGAATGAAAGAGAAAAAAG